ATGTCTGCTGAAGTGGCTGAGGGGCAGGGAGAGTGAGGGTAAACAGCAGGCTCAATTGGAAAGGGAAGGATAGGTGGGCTGTTATCCTGCCCTCCATGCCATAGCAGAGGGAGGGGCACTCGCTGTTGGGGGGAAATGTGTTATTAGTTGTTTTTTGTAACTGGAAGAGGATGGTGAGGAAAGGTGGGGGGAGAAGGAGCAAAGAGATAGTGAGGTATCACTTTAGCTCCTGAAAGCTAGAGGTCAGAAGATGAAGCAGTGGTGATATTGTGATGGAATATTGTGATGGAATTTGAGCTGAGTTGGGCTTTAAGACTTGGGGGGTATCCTTAAGGACAGGTGTGGCTGTGTTGCCTCAGAGAATGTGAACACAGTTTATTTTGCCTCAGGACAGAGAAAAATCTAGACGTGGGCCTGCAGTTTTGGAACTGGGAGGGGGAAACACTCATTCTTAGCAGGACACAAGGATAGTAACCCTCTGCCAAGCACCATGGAGACAGCTTCCCCTCAATCTGGGACTAGAAATTTCGGTGGGACTCAGCTCACCTGGACTGGTGTTGAATATAGGCTGGGATCAGCAAATAGACAGGTTCCAGAGGAAAGAAGCCTGGTAGATAGACAGGGGGCTCAGGACTGGGGGGTTTGGCCCCCAGGAGCCTCACATGCTGCCCATCCAGTCACAAGGTGGGCAGTGGCTCAGTAGGGGCTTTGGCTGAGAGGATCTGTTGGGGGCTGTAAGACAGGCAGAGGGAGAAGAAAGCAAGGTAGGGGACTTTGGACTATTTCCCATTGCGGCAGCAAAATTTCTCTAAATTAATGAAGGTATCATAATTAAAAGAGTTCTTGGGGGGCCCAGATAGTCTCATTGTCCAACTTGTATTGTGGCCAGGCTGTTTGACAATGAAAAATTAGGCATTTGACTTTGAGGTCAGAGAAGTCTAAGGGGCCTCTAAGGACAGGTGTAAGACAGTCTAGGACAGAAGAATAGTTGTGAGAGAGTATTGAATTGCCCATAATAGTGAGAAGGGGGTGGTGGTAGTGAGAGATCTTATTGTGAGAGTCCCAAAAAGGGATGTAGAACCAAAGCCTTCAGAGCAGATGCGTTGACAGGACTTTGTAGAGTAGGGCCAGGGCTGGCTGAGAGGAGTAGAGCTGGGAGACCAGCTGTTCAGAGTAGAGATAGTCGTCCTTAGGGAAAAATCTGGATGAAATAGAAAAGGAAAGAGCAGAACAGGACGTCAGTGTTGGAGAATTCCTGTAAGGAACCCTGAAGGAATTTAGAAGCTATTTAGAGTGCTGGCCCAATAACTGAGTGGATTAAAGCACCTGCAAGCAGGCGCAGGGGGCCAGGGGTTCATTCCCCAGCCTGCTGTGCTGGCCTTGCCCCTGGGGCATGCTGAGACAGTGATTAAGACTGGGTGTGGTGGCATGCATCTGTAATCCCAGCTCTTGGGAGGCTGTAAACAGGCGGATCACTATGAGTCCAATCTATTAGTGAGATCCTGAACACCCTGTAGACCCTTTCCCTAAAATACAGGAAAAAAGAAAGAAAATAAATAGAAGCTAGCTATGCCAGGTACGAGTTGAAGGATTCACAGGGGAGAGGGCTGGAGGCAGAGGCAAGTCATCTAGAACGACATTTATCTTCAAGATGTGTAGGGAAGCAAAAGAGAAAATTAAAGTACAGAAAGTGCTCTTGTCTTGGCTAAAGTTGGGAAGGGGGCCTTGGAGACATTCATCGCTGCTAAATTGAAAGGAGTCAACTGTAGCCAGCAAGTCCCTAGGGAGAAATGGCCCTCTTTGTTTTGTTTTTCTAACAAGTTGAACAATGGAAGAGGTTTGAATTTTAAGATGGGTTTAATGAGTGATTAGGGAATACTCACAGTTTTAGGTGTGTAGGTCAGCAAGGGAGGTCTGAGGCTCGAGGTCCATTGAGAAGGGCTGGCGGCAGACCAGGTCAGGGCCCTGGTCGTGAGGGACTGGCAGAAGCCTTGGCATCGGTCCCAGGTTTCAGCAACAAATGTTAGGTATGAACCCATGCAGTTGACCACACACCAGGCATTCTGATGCAAGTAGTTTTTTTGGGGACATCAAGCAGGCTGGCTGTCTAGCAGACAAAGGGGGGCAGGAGACTTTATAGGCTCTTTCAGGGAGGTTGAATGTGGGCTGGAACAGCCAGATCACAGGTGGACATCATTTATCTCCCTTGTGGTTTAATCTTGTTTATGTCAGAAGGGAGTGAGCTGAGACCAACATGGGTCAAAGGGAAGTGAGCTGAGACCAGAGTACAAAGTGGGGCAGAGTTGGGATTGGGGTTGTTGTAGGTTACCTAGGAAACTAATGGAGGGAATGTTTGGGGCAAGGTGCCTGAGAAACTTCGAGTCCTGACCTATCATTTTGAGTTAATTTTTGCAAACGGTATGATCTCAGGCAACTGTTGTGTCTTTTTCCTAGCAATATCTAATTGCTCCAGTGTTAATTTTTGGAAAAGCTCCTTTTTTCAATTGAATTGCTTTTGCGGTGTTGTGAAAAATGAGTAGGACTTATTTATGTGGATCTGTTTCTGGGTTTTCTGTTCTGTTGACCTGTGTTTCTATTCTCTCTCAGCTCTTGATTAGTCTAGCTATCCAATGAGGTAAAATTGGGTAGACCAATTCCTTCTAATTTTCTTTTCAAACTTACTTTACATATATTAATTCCCTTTTTCATATACATTTCTCTTTCATGTTTGCAAAAATATTTTGCTAGAAATTTGATAGTGATTATTCTAAACCTCCATGTTAGTTTGTTCTCGATTGATATTGTGGGGCTTCCTTACTGGTTGGTCAGTTGGTTTGAATGCTGAGACTCCCCAGTTCTCTGACTTCACTCCAAAGGGGTATGTTGGGACACTGTATTATAGGGTGTAAGTCAAGACTGCCCACTCTCTGTTGGGCCTTATGGCTGGCCTGTGTGTATTTGGTTGGAACTGTTACTAAGTTTTTTTTTTTTTAGATCTTGCTAGACTGCCCTTTTCTTAGTTCACCGAAAGAAAGGGGGTGATGGTGTTGTTGGTATCTTGGCATTTTCTAGATTACTGGCTTTTTTTGCTCCTTGTTCTGGATATAGGAAGTAAAAGAAAACCAAGGAACTTATGACGACAGGCCCTGAAGTTCCTAGCCTGCCTGCTGCCTTTTCTCCCGTCTTTCAAGTTGTCTTGTTGTATTGCTGATGTCCAAAGCTTCCCTATTCCTTCCCACAATGTATAGTGTTCTTTCTGGGAGGGATAGGGAAAAGTATATCTAATTTCCTGCAATTGTGTCCTTATTTTCTTTCTTTTTTTTTTCCTGTATTTTAGGGAAGGGTCTACAGGGTGTTCAGGATCTCACTACTAGATTGGACTCATAGTGATTCTCCTGTTTACAGCTTCCCAAGTGCTGGGATTACAGGCCAGCGCCACCACACCCAGCCTCAATCACTGTCTCACCATGACCCAGGGGCAGGGCCAGCACAACAGGCCCGGGGATTGAACCCCTGGCCCCTGTGCCTGCTTGCATGAACTTTAATCTGCTGAGCTATTTGGCCGGCCCCTTATTTTCTTTTTTTGACTAAAAGTTTTGGCTGAATGTAGTAGTGTATACCTTTAATCTTAGCATTTAGATGGCTAAAGCCAGAGGATTGCTACAAATTTAAGGCCAGCCTGGGTTACATGCTAAATTCAAGGTCCACTCAACTATATAGTGAGACCCTGTCTCAAAAAAATTATAAAAATTTTAAACATTCAGGAAAATGTAATAGGTTAATGAACATTAGTTACCTATTTTCTAGTTAAGAGTTGTAAATGTTTTCATGTCTTAATCTTTTTTCCCCCTAGTTTTATTTATTTATTTATTTTTTGCGGAACCGGGGATTGAACTTAGGCCCTTGCACTTGCCAGGGAAGCGCTTATTCCACTGAACCATATCCCTGGCCCCCCCTGAGTTTTAAATTATAGATATTATCATACTTCACTTGTAAATTTCAATATGCATTTTTAAAAATAAAAATTTTGAACATAAGGATAGTATTTTATTTTATTTTTATTATTATTTTTTTTTTTGGCAGAACCAGGGAATTGAATTCAGGCCCTTGTGCTTGCCAGGGAAGAGCTTATTCCACTGAGTCATCTCCCCGGCCCCAAGGACAGTATTTTATATGTAATGATTTATAAGGTCTTCATGGTAGCTAATATCTAATTCATATCCTCATTTTACCCTGGTTATTCCCCAGTTGTGTTATAGAGGGTTGGATAAAGCAAGGTCTAATCAAGAACATGAATTGCATTAGTAGTTAGGACTTTAAAAAATTTGTTGATTATTCATCAAGAGAAAATATTCTTTAACCCATTTAGTCATCTTTCATAGTTCAGGAACACAGGTCAATGATAAACTGTTGTGGAACTCCGGCCAAATAAATTTTTTACATTCCAAAGTCACTGTGCTTTGAAGGATACCACCAGCCTTCTTTGTCGCCTCAGAGTCTCTAATGGAATCAGGATTTCTGTAGCAATCTGATCTGCATTTTCTGTCTTCCTTGGTTCAGTCATAGCAAGTGTATAGTGAGCTTCCACCCCAAGGAGATGACGAGGAAGGGTCCAGTAGTATGAAATCCCAGGGGTTTGGTCAGAGGCATATGAGGCTTGGTCAAAGCACTGGTAGTGAGTGTCTTCAGCACCAGTGTCCCTTGTAGATGGTGGAGACTGGTTAGACATTTTAAGTTTACTTTTAATCTTAAAAAAGTCCTGTTTACTTTTTTCTCCATGGTTATTGATTTGTTGAGGAAATAGTTCAGTTGAAAGTTGGAATGTCCTCCCATCAGTAGGAGTTGTGTAGATGTGTATGTTTATCTCCATTTTGTGTAAAATAGAAATTAGATTTTAAAGCCTTGGTTAGATTTTGGCTTGAGAATTTTTTTCATAGGTGATGACGCTATGTTAAGACATTGTCAGAAGCTTATGTTATTTCTAATTTGTTTAATGATAGAGAAGATGCCTTCTGCATCCTGTGATATGCTACTGGATGACATAGAAGATATTGTATCACAGGAAGATTCAAAACCATAGGATAGACATTTTGTAAGAAAGCATGTTGTTCCAAAGGTGCGAAGAAGAAATACCCAAACGTATTTGCAAGAGGAAAGCAGTCCACCAAGTGATAGGTAAGCCTTTTTTCCTTGAAATTACTCAGTTTTCATCCCATGAGAGAAGTTGGCACTATTTAGTGTGGTATGCACAATGTCTCTTTTAGAATCTTTGACCTTTTGATTTGCAGCATAGATTTTATTTGAATAATTTTAAGTTTGGCAAAGTAGTAATTGGTTAAAGTAGATGTCCAACTGGATATTGTTTGAAAGCAGGGCCTAGGACAAATAGGAATCTCTGCTGTATCCGTTCTGCATTACTTCCAAATTAGAACTACAGTATGTGATTCTTATGAGACAGTGGTGTTTTGAATATTTGATTTTTTTATCTTGGTGTTGGTGGTTCTGGGGATTAAACCTGCTAAACTACACCTCCAGCTTTTTAAATTTTTTAAAATTTTGACATAGGGTCTCATGAGGTTGCCCAGGCTGGACTTGAACTTGTTATCTTTCTACATAAGTCTCCCAAGTAGTTGTTGTGTGCCATTGTGTCTGGTGTGACATTTGATCATTCTCAGGAAATTTATGAATATTTAGGGACCAAGGAAAGACATTGGACATGTAAGTTAACTGTCCTGTTTTTGGGGTGTAATGGCACACACCTATAATCTTAGTACTTGGGAGGCTGAGGCAGGAGGAATGCCTTGAGTTTGAGGTCAGTGTAGGCTATCCAGCAAGACCTTATCTCAAAAAAAAAAAAAAAAATTACTGTCCTATTTACACTATTATGTTAGGATACTAGCCTATCAAATTATTTTTTGTGTTAAATTTTTTATTTATTTTAGTGCATGTTTCCACTACATAATGAATACATTTATTGTGGAACTTGGTACATGTACATGTCACTTCTTAATCCTTTGTCCCTCCCCTTTCCCTCCTGCTTCACCCCCACATCCCCTCCACATCTGCATAAAGTCTGCCTTCCTGTTTCCTATCATCTGTCTTTTACTTTGCTCTTTATACTTTTGGCTTCTTATATGAAAGCCATGTAGTATTTAACTGTATCTGATTTATTTCATTCAGCATTATGTTCTCATGATTCAGTCATTTTCCTCTAAATGTCTACAACCAGTGAAACATAACATTGCCAGAAAGGATTATGTGGTTGTACAGTTTTAATAAACCTATAATTTTTTTATCTAATAAATTATTAAAAGTTTTAATATGCTTAATTATTTTGTTTGGAATATTAAGCTTTTGATATCTATGAATTTAAATTTTTCTTATATTTCAGTCACTAGAAGGTATTTAATTCAGGGTAGAGCACTTGCTTAGTATAGGGGAGCCTCTGGGCTCAAACCCTTGTACCACAGAAAACCCACCAAAACCAAATATTCTATGATTGGCGTTTATTAAGCTTGTCTTAAACATGCCCTTAAGATAGTTTTTCTTAACCTATAAATTATTGGGGCAATCTAACTTGAGAATCTTTTTCTTCTTAAAGATACTTCATTTTTTGTAACTCTGTTTTTATAAATGGAATACTTTTAATAATGCTGTGGGGTCACAGTTGTTAATTTTGGAATTGTTTATATCTATACATTTTAAACTAGATAAAGATTGCAACTACTATTAGGATTCTATGAGCAGAAAGATATATTTTTTTCTCTGTTTGCTATTACTGCTAGAACAATTTTCTGTGCTGTTGGTATTATTATACATCTTCCTTTACATGCTTTTTGAGGTACTAGCGGTGGAACCTAGGCTTAACACATGTTAGGCAGGTGCTCTACCACTGAGCTACACCCCTAGCCCTTTTTATTTTGAAGACCCCCTGCCTCATCCTCCTGAAGATAAGATTACAGGTGTACACCACCATGCCTGGTGGCATGAATCTTTTCTAGAAGTTGAATTAGTAGTAGTGTGGTCAGTAGTAGGGCTTAAAAATACAATTCAGAAAAAATGATATTTTTCAACATAGAGATTCTTGAAATTATTTTATCTTCATGTTAGGCTTTTGATGTAATAGCAGGCTTTGCATTAAGTTGGTGCATTTAATGAATGGTTATGAATTAATTGTAGTTTGTTTTTTGGCAATGTGCTTTACAATTAACTACTGGCCTTTGCTTTAAAAAAATCATTTAATGAGACTTACTTTTTGTATTGATTACCCAACAGCACTATTCCAGGCATACAGAAAATTTGGATACGAACTTGGGGTTGTTCACATAATAATTCAGATGGAGAATATATGGCCGGACAGCTAGCTGCGTATGGGTATAAAATTACAGGTAATGAGATCTTGCATGTATTTTGCTGATTTTTTTTTAATTATAAGTTTTAGAAATAGATATTTTATTTTATTTTTTTTTATTTTTTTTTATTTTTTAAATATTCATTTATTTTTATTTATTACATTTATTTATTGTGTGTGTGTGTGTGG